CGAATTAAAAATCAAATAAAGTGCAGTTAAGGTTAAATAGAAGAGAAAAAAAAGACAAATGTAGTATAAGGCCACCTATTTATAATTTGATATAAAATTTATTGCAATTGTAGAAATGCCAATTTAAAAAGAGACTGCACAACGTTTACAACATTTTGTATACATTTTACTAGCATTAGAACTCCTTGTGTAAGAGTTCGTCTGAAGAGGGAAGTATTGGGAGCATTACCGCGTTCTGGTTTTGGAGAGTATCCTTATTCTGGTGAAATTACAGGCATATGGGACTTCAACTTATGTCTCAGAGTGGTGGGCGCCGTGGCAGTGCTTCTCAGATCTTCAAACGCGATGCAGTCGCATCGATTTCGCGCGACAGCATCGGTTCAGTAGTTTATAATGAATCATTATGTGCGAAAAATCTCTACAGGTTTATGCACATTGTTTTGTGTTCGTAATTGTAAATTTAGAAGTGAAATAAATAAATTATAAATGATTTAATTTAAAAAAGTTGCCGTGTGTAACCGCTCTATGTCATACTGTGGTTATATATCACTGTCTAACTGTTTTACCTAAAAATCTAGCTCTTGTGTGGTAAATTATTTACCAAGATCGTTTTTTCCCAGCCAAGTTCTGACGAAGAAACAGAAGACGGTGGCTCAGAATGCGTGATCTGCATGTGCGACGTCAGAGACACGTTAATCCTACCCTGCAGGCATCTATGCCTGTGTAACTCGTGCGCAGATTCTTTGCGGTACCAGGCTAACAACTGCCCTATTTGCCGAGCACCTTTTCGGGCACTGCTGCAGATCCGGGCGTTGCAGAAGATCATGGCTCCTACTGCGCCGTCGCTACTGCCACCCACTAGCCCACCAGACGTGAGTGTTGGTTCCATCGAGTATATAACCAGAAATAGAGACGAAATGTCATTTAATCTGTTTGAAAACTGTTCTGCCAAATCATTACGGTAACAACTGCGCTCCGATTGGCCAGCCCGAATTCGAAACAATTGACGGGCGTCGTCAATAATTCACTTCAAATCGACCAGTTTAACTTGTGTTTAGCTATAATGAACAAAACTTGAAAAATTATATTAATTACCGATGAAATGTGATTCCGTTTGTTTTCTAATTAGATGTTTTGCTATTTTTCCCACACCACCGAGCGGAATAGCCCCCCATAGCTAGAGATATTGTCTTTATTACAATAAATACAGAATATTTTTGGAATATATGGAGACGTACACACAGGTCAGTTGTTGGTACTATTTCAGCTTTCTAATTTGTGATTTCAGCGCAAACGAGAGTTGATATTTAAAAGTGATATAAGGCCCATTTGCCTGATAAGTTACCAGGGATGGATAGCCCTTATTTCGTCCCTACTTCTGATTATATACTCGATGGTTGATTTTAAGGGTCCTATTACACAAAAATGCTTCAGTACTGGTTTTGAATCAAGACTATAATTAACCGATTTAAAAAAAAGGGAGGAAGTTGTCAATGTCGTCAACTGTATCAAACTCAACTGTGTCAAATGTTGTCAACTGTATTTTTATTTGTATGAATGTCACGCGATTTCTCCGCCATTTGTGTATAGATTTTGATCATTGTTTTTTTTATTGTAATGAGAGTATTTCAGTAACCTCTAAATGATGCAAATTAGGGGATGAATCCGGTGCACTTTCCGGTAACCGATTTCTATAAAACTTGGCAAATAGATGTAATTTTGATAAAAAACCGATTAGCAAACTTTTGAGGATAGTTTTTTTTTTTTAAATAAAAAATGGGATGGTTAGGTTAATCCGTATTGTATAACAGGGTAGCATGGATAACATCCCGGCGGGGTACGAGCCTGTGTCGCTGATCGAGGCCCTGAACGGGCCGCACCCCGCGCGCGCCATTCCTCCCCCCTCCGCGCTGGCCGCCGCGCCCGCCATCGCCAGTCCGGACACGGACACCGCCAGTCAGGTAACCACAATTTTTTTACGTAATGCAAACTTGCAATTTTTTTTTTCTCAAAAAGTATACATTTTACAGAAGTCTATCTCCCGCCAAACTGGAAACAGTTTATTGGCAAGCACGCTCTTACATAATCATAGAACTAATTACTTAATCATTAACTAAGTATTTAGCAGTGAGAAGATACTTCTCATGTAGGTCAGTTCAAGTTCATCCTTACAAACTTTTAAATATATTATTATATATGATAGTATGTAATAAATGACGTCGAACAGCAGTTCGACGTGTCTTAAAGGTGCTGGTGAAATTGCAGGCGAATGGGACTTGTCAACTTAAGTCTCAGGGTGACAGGCGCACTGGCAGTGCCCCTCAGATCTTTACGATTTGAAGCTCTGAGTAGCACTGCAAATGTTATGGACAGGCGTGTAAAAAAGCAACCATTTCTAAAACCAATTACTTCCGAATTCCGTCGCCAGATGGCGCTGTTCGACACTTGCACGTACTTCTAAGCGTGCTTGCGGACTGCATCCGTTTCGTATTAGTCCCGAACCCGACACTGCAAATCTGGAAAACACGGGCCCACTTCGGATGTCGCTTGTGCACGCAATTCGAATCCGAGAATATACGAACATCGCTTGAACAACATCTAGAAATAAAATGACACTTCGGACACCTGTGACATTTCGGTCCGTCACTTCTCGGATTCGGAACTGATACGAACCGGATGTAGTGCGCAAAAGCTCTAATAACTTTTAAACGTTTACTAGGCGGCCGAGGCCTTGAACCGATGCAACCTGGAGCGTAGTTCGTCGCCGAGCCTCGGCAGCAGCGGGAGTCGCAAGGGCAAAGCTAAAGAGGAGAAATCTGTGCGATCAGTTGGGCAAAACGTCACTCCTGAGGTACCTAAGTATACTTTTTTAATGTAAAATCATCGAGTATATAACCAGAAATAGAGACGAAATAAGGACTGTCCATCCCTGGCTACTTGCCTTATGTCACTTTTCAATATCAACTTTCGTTTGCGCTGAAATGACAAATTACAAAACTGAAATATTACAGCACCAACAACTGACCTGTGTGTACGTCTCCGTATATTCCAAAAATATTCTGCATTTATTGTAATAAAGATAATATGACCCATGGGCTGTTCCATTCGGTGGTGTGGGAAAAATAGCAAAACATCTAATTACAAAACAAACTGAATCACATTTCATCGGTAATAAAATATGTAGTAATTAAATTTTTATTGAATTGATATTCAATTATTTTTTGTGAAATTACTCCACTAGTTTGTTATAATTATTAATACAAAGATCGAACACTCAGAAAAAACACTCAGAAAAAATTCCTCCGATCCGGTCGGATTCGAACCGACGTCTTCTTGCATACCGTGCCAGACGCTATACCAACTAAGCCACGGAACGAACCAACGGACCTCACGAATTTTTCTATGTGCTTGGGTCGTGTCTTTGTACTTGGTCTTTCAACGACTTTTTAGTCCTAGATTGGACTATTATATTATATAATTTTTTCTGAGTGTTTTTTCTGAGTGTTCGATCTTTGTATTAATAATTATAATTAAATATGTAATTTTGCAATTTTCGTCCATTATAACAAATACCAAGTTAAACTGGTTGAATTGAAGTAAAACAATTGATGACACTCATCAATTGTTTCGAATTGGGGCTGGCCAAACGGAGCGTAGTTGTCACTGTAGTGATTTGGCAGAATAGTTTTCAAACAAGTTAAATGACATTTCGTCTCTATTTCTGGTTATAAATACTCGATGTATAGAATAAACGGCTGCTTGGTCACAGTCTTACTGATGTTAAGCCACGATGTGATCGTTGATGGTATGCACTCGTTTGTCTAAGACTGGTTTTCTTTTCACGCTGAGCGTCGGCGTTGGTAGATCAATACGTATCAGTGGCGAGGCGTCCATATAACTCGATTCCCACCTAAAACTATAATTATTTTATGTGTAGAATAAGTTAACCAGTGAAATGAAGTGGACTAGTATCTTGTGTGCTGATAAGTGTTCTATTTGAATGTCGCCAAGGCTTGTTGTTAAAGTGTTTTTATTTTCTTCAATAAGTTAAAGCGTTGGCTTTACCAAGGAAAACTTGCGGTTCGCTAGTGATATGTATGTATTACTATGAAGCATTTCGTTTTCTTGTCGTATCGATGACATGCTCAATAACGCTTGCTATCACGGTGAAAGTTTTTGCCTATTGGTGTCAGGTACTCGCCGATTGTTGGTACGTCGTCCGATGATTGGAGGACTGAATCGTCCTTTCGTTCACCCCACTGCGTTTCTGCCTAACACTGGCTGGTCAGTGCCGATGAGTGTAAGCGCTGAGACGTGTGTAAGTGTAAGTGAACGGGCCGCGCATAAGTCTAATTTAAAAATAAAAAATCGTCGACTATCATTTTTTAACCGACTTCAAAAAGTAGAATGAATGAAGAATTTTGATGATTTTTATTTTGTTGGAAAGAGGGTATCTCAGTGTAGGCCCACAATTTGAAGAAAATCTTCCACCTCTAAGGGTGGCAAACTAGGGGATGAATCCGGTTTCGCGCACTTTTCGGTAACAGATTTCAATCAACTTTTGAGGTCAGTTTTTTTTAACAAAACGTTATTATTTGTCGATATGTTTTCGTTTCTTACTAATACAAGTTTGTCGAGTGGCTAGAGGTTGATTATGTGTTAATAATTTGAAGAAATCGTTGTTGACAAGTTAACGTTGAATGCATGTTAACTTGTTAATATTTTTGACGGTTATCTTCACGTTACACAGTTCCGGATGTCAGTGCTGCTGGCTCGCGAGGAGGAAGCAAAACGCGCCGAGGAAAAGGCGACCGCGGCGGCAAGCAGCCCCTTGTTGTGTAACCACAAGGGACTTAATGGCACTGATAAAATGTCAAAGGTAAGATTTTACACTCACGTTACGTATTGTTTAAAGTCAAATCTTATTTATTCAGACCACAAAGAGTCTATATGTGTTAGTATGTACTTAAAATAAACAACAAACAATATCTATGTTTTGTTATAATTAATAATACAAAGATCGAACACCCATAAAAAAAATCCTTTGATCCGGCAGGATTCGAACCGACGTCTTCTGGCAAACCGTGTCAGACGCTATGCTAACTAAGCCACGGAACGATCCAGCGGACCTCACGAATTTCTCTAGGTGTTTATTTGTCGGATCCTTGCATTTGGTTTTCAACGACTTTTTAGCCGTAGCGCCTCTATCTATGAGAAATCTATGAAAGTATTTCGTCACGCAGTTAGATACTTTTACAGCGACCAAACCTGGCTAGAGATGTCGCTATAAACTGCCTCCGTGGCCGAACGGTTACCATGCCGGACTGCCACGCAGAGGTCCCAGGTTCGATTCCCGGGCCGGGATAAATAGTTGTATGGCCTACAATTATTTCTCTCGTGAGTTTGGGTGTAATTTGTGGTTGTCTATGTGTGTGTCCATGGCACCCGCGACACAGGGTTTCCCTAGTGTGGGGCTATGTTGAGTGTGTGCGTTATTTATTTATTTATTAACTTGTAATTAAATATTTTATTGAATGTCAGGATGTTTGTATGATTTTTGTATTATTGTAAAGGAGGGAGGTTCTTTCGTCCGTTGGATGAGGTTACCAAAACAGCCAAGTGAAACTCCAAATTGTTGTTTGTTCAGAAGATTTTTATTTTTCACCTTGTATGTCGCCAATACAATTTCACTCTATATTCGGAAGGTCCGGGCAGTTGTTCCCAGAAGGGACTCGACTCTTGGAAACCGTTCCGCGAGATGAGGTTTTTCACCCTATATGAGCGTACGAAATGTCAGAAGATCCGGGTAGCAGTTCCCAAGAAGGGACTCAACTCATGGTTACCTTACTGAGCTCTCTGTATTCTCAGATTTCTCTTCACATTAACAAAATTGTGTTCGAGTAGTCACCGTTCGAGGGAAAATCTTAACACCGCGATTCAGAAATAACGCCAAATGGGTCAATGCCATCTAGCGGATTCTTAGAGAACTAAAAGTGAACAATCTGGCTTAAGGCCGCCTATTACATAAAGTAGGTTTGTTACATTATTAATTATAACAAAACTAGTGGAGTAATTTCACAAAAAATAATTGAATACCATGGTGGTAAAATGTCCTGACATTCAATAAAGTATGTAAAAATCTATGTTAGTAACAATATAAACATATATTATATGAGACAGGAGCAATAACTAACACACAAATAATAATTAATCAGGGCCCGAATCGAAGGGTGCTTTCCGAGCTATTCAGAACATTCGAGTTAAAATGTTCCATTATGACTCGGTACGATATCGTTATCCAACAATGTTTACGGAATTAGTCGGCAAATATAGATTATAAGAAAAATTAAATCCTTTTATATACATTTTTAAGACTAAAATATAGGAATGCATTAGTTCGCATTAAAATAAATTAATAAATAGGAAATGAAACTATTTTTCCGGATTTAAATCGCGTATATTTGTTTTTTCAAACAAACCGACGTTTCGGGCCTTTTACAGGTCCCGTGGTCACGGTTGACTAACGTGGTACAGTCTTCAACCAGTTATGTCTAATATTGATGCAAACCACCCTATTTTTTCACTATAGTTACAATAGTTATTAATTAAATACCTTATTTTTAATTTTGCAAAGAAAACATTCCAATTTACGCTACATTAAGTTTTACAAATTATTTTATTGAATGAATTTTTATTAAGTTTAATTTATTATAGACGAAATAACAACGAATTATGATATAGTTGTCACCGCTGTAATTTCTAGTTTTTCTAACAAAATATTAATATAGTTTCACACACATGCTTGCATGCACACGAACACATTCGTGCTAGCGTTATATGACATATCACCAGAATGGCTGATATGATCCCAAACCTTAACGAAACGGGCGAGTAAGAACCGTGACAACTGGAAGTTTTGTCGCTTGACATAAATAAAAATCTATAACCATGTTATTCCAGTCATCCCTAAACTCCGACTACAACGCTGAAGGCGGCTCAATGGGTGAACCGTCGGGATCTGAAGACGAAGGTTCGCTTCAAGGAGAGCTGGACGGGCAGTGCGCTGCACCTGAACCTGACGCAGCGCCTGATAGTGACGCTGAGAGACTGTCGCCGCTGCTTACCCAGCCGCCTAATGGGGTAAGACTTTTAAATAAGATATATTGTTAATATTGAAAAGTAATGGCCCAATCTAAGGGTCGTATTCCAGAACTCTACTCAATGCTCAATTCCAGAACTATACTCAATAGTAGAGTTCTGGAATACGACCCTAAAATTCATTGCCAAAGACACTTCAAGTAATACACACTGAATGGATAATATCTTCCTCTGAAATCTTTTTTTATGATACCCAGTGAAGGGGCCGAACAAGTCTCGCGCCTGTTTGTAAGCGACACGTCAAGCGACGATCCATGACAGTTGCAGTGCCACTCGGAGCTTCCAAAGATCTGAGGGTCACCGGCACCGCGCCCATCACTCTGAGACACAAGTTGACAAGTCCCATGTGCCTATAATTTCGCCAATCTCGGAATGGTTATAAATAAAAGGCAAAAAATCAAAAACAAAATACTTTTTTGCAATTTTACAATGTAGATTTACATACAATTGAGGGTACAAAATTAGAAAACAGGGTTTGGATTTTGTATATTTTTTTTGTACGAATCGTCCGGAACAACGTATAATGGGGAGCGAAGACAATTTTTTTTAAATTGATAACCTGTTTCGTCTTAACAGATATTAATGGGCTGCCAACAGATTGACTGCATGCCGAGACCACGATTGCATGAAGTTGATAACGACTGCATGCACGATAACGACTTCACACATTAACTGCAAATATGCAGTCAATCTATTAGCAGCCTAAAGTAATTGCTAGTTACACATCAAAAATATAGAACAAAATATAGCAAAATAATTGCGGGATTTGAGAGGGTGGTATTATTTTGTACGCGTGTTTAGGTAAACATACTGTATGTGTTTCGATCTTTGCTTAGTAGAAAGATATATTCAGAATGGGCAAGATTTTAATAAGACATAAAGCTTTGTTATTGGCTAAAATAATCGTCGTGCAGGTGCTGAAGGGGCGCATGAGTGCGGGGGGCGAGGCGCTGCGGCTGTCCACGCCGGCGCTCGCGCACATCGACGACACCGATACCGACGAGCCCGAACACAACCATCGCTGTAAGTATTACACTTGTTGCCCTCGCGTTCGATGCCTGTTACAATACTTAGATCCTAGTTCATTTTAAAATCGCCTCAAGTTATAAGGTTTCCAATGTTTACGGGACGCAAATAAATGCTCTTGGTTAGTCCAATTACCCCGGCAGACCACGACGTTGTTGTAAGGCTCGCGACTAAACAAAATAACTTTTGCTGTCAAGCAGATTTGACTCGCTAGATATATCGAGTATATAACCAGAAATGGAGACGAAATAAGGGCTATCCGCCCCTGGCAATTCATCAGGTAAATGGGCCTCTATATAACTTTTTAACCGACTTCAAAAAAAGGAGTAGGTTCTCAATTCGACTGTATGTTTTTTTTTGTTTGTATGTTACGCGATAACTCCGGTATTTGTGAACCGATTTTCATGATTCTTTTTTTGTTGGAACGAGGGTACCTCTATAGTGGTTCCATTTCATTTTGAAGAAAATCATCCACCTCTAAGGGCGGCTGATCACGCATGAACATTCATTTTTATAAATAGCGCCTAAGTTTTCCTTAAGGAGCAATTATTTTAATGGTTGGTTTTGCTATTCTCCAATTCGACGCGTTTTTCTCTCTCAATATTCTTTGAGTAGTGAGAACCGATTTTTATTATCTCCTGTGTCAAGTCCCGTATAGTGGCGAACTAGAGCTATATTTCAATAAAACTTAGCAAATAGACGTAATTCCGTAAAGACGTACTTTTGAGGTCGGTTTTTTTAGTACTCTGTACTGAGATTATCAATATCAACTTTCGTTTGCGCTGAAATGACAAATTAGAAAACTGAAATATTACAGCACCAACAACTGACCTGTGTATACGTCTCCGTATATTCCAAAAATATCTTGTGTTTATTGTGATAAAGATAATATCTCTAACAATGAGAGCTGATCCATTCGGTGGTGTGGGAACTGCAAATCATCTAATTACAAAACAAACGGAATCACATTTCAAGGGTAATTAAATATTAAATATGGAATGTTTCAACTTTAGTCCATTATAGCAAATCTCAAGTTAAACTGGTCATTTTGAAGTGAAACAATTGACGACACCCGTCAATAGTTTCGAATTCGGGCTGGCCAATCGGAGCGCAGTTGTCGCCGTAATGATATGGCAGAATAGTTTTCAAACAAATTAAATGACATTTCATCTCTATTTCTGGTTATATACTCCATAGCTAGATATAAGGGTCAATTTGAACTAACCGACATGTTGAAGACAAAATTGATTAAAATTTTTAGTAATGTTTGCATTGTATATTATTGTAATGAAGTTTATCGAATATCAGGATGTTTCACCACCATGACAGTCAATTATTTTTTTGTTACATCACTCCACTAGTTTGTTATAATTACAAATTATCAAAGCGACATATCGACTGTGAACTGGCAATCGGTATTATCTCAATTTTGACAACTTAACAGGATGAAGAAAAAAATTGTTTGCTTTATTTAATAAACCAGATGCTACAGTAAGTTGCCAGTTCACAGTCGATATCCAGTCAGCTGCTGATAGCTGTAAAGGCACCTGGCTGTGTGAGGAAATAGATTTCCCACAAAGGGCGCTACGGTAAAAGTCGTTAAAAAACTATAACAAAGATCGGCAACAATTCTTAAGGTCCGCTGACTCGTTCGGTGGCTTAGTTTCGATTGGTAGAAGACGTTCGTTCGAATCCAGCCGGACTGAAGGATTTTTTTTAAGTGTGCGACCTTTGTATTACTAATTATATATTATTTTTAACTTAATTATTTACAAATGATGACTAATAATGCTTAATAGGGAATTTACTGTTTTTGACTATAGTTAGGAATCGATACTACCTCAGCTCGAATTAAAGTTTTCCCGTACTAAGACGGTTTATTTTGCTTGAGTCGAGCGGCAGGGACGCTGGCTCTATTTCTGAATAAATTTTTTTACAAAGTAAAATAAAGCCATTTGAAGAAATTTCTTGTTAAATTTCGAAGTAAGTTTGTGTTCTTTATCGTGAAATTGTTTAGAAATCGTGTTTTCTTACACCGTAATTTTACTATACATTGTTTTCAAAGGGATTGATTGAACGCTTTCGCTGTTATGCGGGATCAATCAAAGCCGTTTGAGGTTGTATCGATTCTTAAAGGTAGACGCCGGTAACATTTCCTTTTTGGGTACCTAAACTTGCCTTTGCCGGTAGTAGCTACCAGCCTTCTAGCCCGAAGACCTCTATTAGGTGAACCAACCGACAGTATTTTAGTGATGAGTTTTGCCTAGAGGAGTCACGTCAAAAGGGGCAAAGCTTTATTACCGCTATAAATTATCATTTTTGAACAACATGTCGGTCCAATCCACACATTATTCTTGCTATGTGAAAAAATATGTTGCTAAAGAACAAAATTAAAAATTCCATATGGGTAGGTCGTGTGCTTTCAGAATTTAAAAGAGTGTCGTTCATACATGTAGTATCATCTGGTTGGCCCATGCTTCTTCTGTGATTATTTTGTCACTACATGATTTTTTACTGTTCAACTTGTTGGCTGTTACGTCTTTGTTTAACAGTTGACTGCAGGAAAGTGAGTAGTTCCAACCTGGATGTGGTAGGATAATGAATATCCAGTTTTAAATCTACCCTGCTCCCTACCCTTACCCTAACATGACGCGACGGCCGTTCGTAAAGACGCAATTGTACGAAAGAATTAAAAGGAAATTTGTGTTGTTCGTTCTGTCGCATAAATGTGGCTTCTAGCGGAGGATACTCAATGTCCAGATATATACTATAACTATAAAACTTTGGAAGCAAACCACAGCTTTAAATAGTTTCAAACTTGTATAATATTACGCAGTTTTAATCCTGTCGATATGTTTATTTTATTGCGTTGGTACTTTATAAGAATCACGCGTGGTAATAGGCGTAGTAACAGACGTTCCAATTAGTTAGACAACATTATCGGATGAGGGCAGATCAACATTGTAACATTTTGTATTTTTATTTAAAATGTGTGTCCTTACTACGCGGTATGCTTTAAAAAGAAATGTAGTTTATATTTAGCAACTTTAGCTCCATTATAAAACAAGAATATTTTCGCATGACGTTATAGATTGCCAAATGAAAATAATTGTAATTTTTGGAAATTAATCGTAATGTTATAGTTTTTTTTAGTGGAAAATATAAAATACGAATATGTAGAAAATTATGAAAGTTAAACCAGTATGGGTATTACTTTCGTGTGACGGAATATACGGTGGCTCGCAGCGAGCGGACGCGAGTCGTGTGCGTCAGGCGCGGGTGCGGAGTCCACCGGCGGATCGCGCGGTTCGCGTGGTTCGCGCGGATCCCGCGGATCGCACGGATCGCGCGGCTCTCACGCCGCCACGGCCGACGACTCCGACTATTTCACGCCCGAAGACACCCACACCACCATTCTCACCGTGCCCAAGGTCAACGGCGCTGTAAGTGCCTCGCGGGGGCGCCTGTCATTCGTTCGATATTATTTTCATGTAACCCGTCAGTCGCATTTGCAAATCAAACCAAAATCTCAAAACTTGATCACATACTGTTTTATACTAATTGACGAACCGACGGTCAACTTCAAAGAAATCCGCATACAATACAAAAATTATAAATGCATATTCCTGTCAAATATGGATTACTAATCATATAAGAGATAATCAATATAAAGTTACAAGCTGTTTTTGGTTGTCATACTTGCAAAGACAAAATGTCTCCGACATTTCGCTGAATCCATAGCGGGCTTTATGAAACTACTCGTTATTATAATTCAGGCGTATCCCAAAGCTTGTTAAATTACCATTGCAGGTAGGTGTCTCGCGCCATCCGCTTCTTATGTGTACGTCCATGCGTTGTGTTGTTTCAGTTCAGCTCTTTGTTTCGTTCTCATTTGCGCATTCTCATTGTATTTGGTTTTTTGGATTTATATTGTTGTTTTTCACGCAGGGTTATTTAGAAATCGTAAATATTTCATATTAGTAAGACGGTTTGTATATTACGATCGCTGAAGCTCAATTTCTATTACGGCAGAACGATACGGAAGCGAATGTTGTAATGATATTGTACATAATGAACTTTGTGGTCAATTATGTAACGTACCAACTGGTTACCTATCACTAGTCCGAAATGACATTTTCCAGAAGTAACGTTTGCTCGAATTTTCATAACCTCGAAAGTAATTTTGAGAGGCAAATGTTTTTTTCTTTTTGCAATAAACGTCCAACAAATCCTGAAAGAACAACGGTTTCGTTATAATTCGGTTTTCGGTGTAATGAAAATTCGAACAAACGTTATTTCGGAAAAAACGAGTTTGTGATAGGTTACCTACAAACTAGATACGAGCCAAAATCTACTGCGGAATTATGCCGCAGCTGCCGTCGACGCCGCCTGACGAATCCGCGGAAAGTGGCGCGAAAGCAAGCGCAGTGTGACGTCGAACGTCCACGAAATTACTACTGCCTCAAGGCGCTGTATTTGTGAAATTGACGCTTCCGTTTCATTCCGCAATATAAATTGAGCTTTAAAATTAAACGCCCGCCTTATACCGATGAGTCCTAAGTATAAGGGCCAACATAACAATTTAATAATTTTCACTTATTTATGGGAAACACTTTATTACAAAATGAAGCATTTCCCACAAAAAAAGTGAATGATGAAATTGTTAGTTTGGCCCTTATACTTTGGACCCATCGATATGTTCATATAACCAACATGCTGCCCGATAGTCTCTTGAAGTCAGGAGCTATACGAACGATAAGGGAAAAAGTCCTTTTCGGTCTACCAAGTAATGTCGACAGACGCGCTCTGCTTAGAAGAGTGTATAAAGTACACTCTTCTACGCAATTACGTTATCTTTATTTTCTCGACTTTCTAACTAACTCTGTAGTCAGTTACGTTAGTTTTCGGGCATTTCATCAGGTAGAGGTTCATACTGCATTGTTGTTTGTCATGGTGTTGCGTAAATTACGTGCGCATAACAAAGCAAATGAATAGTATGTAATGAATGTGTTTATTGCAGGAACCTAATAATGTACAGGGTGATTGCACCCCGCAACGTTGGGCGCTGCCGCATCACGTCACTTCTTTACCAGGTAAGCTACAATGCTTTTGTGAGCCTATACTACAGATAATATAATACTACACTAGTACAGATACCAAATCTCATACAAAAGAAATGTCTGATAGATGGTACTAAGTAAACCCGAGATGCTATTGTAATAATATTCGAAATGGCCAACAGATGGCAGCTATTACATGTTTGTCAAGGTAATTGTCCTTGTTCAGGCGTTGACTATACATATATACAATTACATGTAATAAAATCGCAAAGCAACTAAGTCTGTACTTTTTAAAGTAAAAGTTAAAACGTTCCTTAAGGTAACGTACAAAATTATTATTTTTAGATAAAATTGTACCTACATAAAATAGACGTAAACAGTTTTAAGTACGCAAATACTTTTCATAACTTTTCTTAATACAATTTATACATTTTGAATAAAATATTTCCTTATTTTTATAACAATTTTAATTTTAGATCACATATACGTAACTTCATTAAGTTACTAACATGAAAATTTAATTAATTAATGAAGATCGACACCTCCTACGTAAAGTATCGTATGTCGAAATTGCCAAGTTTACAGGGAAGCATTTTAAAGTTCTGAATTCACTGAAATGAGCATAACACGACAAAGCTAATCTAATAGATCATCTAACCGATATGTAGGATTTTACAATACTCTGTGTGAGTAACCGTTTGCCGAATAAAACTGACAAATGCTAAAGTCACCTGTTATGCTCCTTTCAGTGGATTCAAAACTTTAAAACACTTCCCTGTAAACATGGCAATTTCGACATACGATACTTTACGTAGGAGGGGTCGATATTTATTCGTACGTATAAATACTTACTGTCTGAAGAAGAATAGAGGCGGCAACGCAATTATTAATCAATAGAACGTCATAACATTCACGCTTCATACACTTTTTGTAAAAATTTTCTTCTTTTACAATCTATCGAAAAAACTATCGACAACAACCACGACTATTTAAAATTTTACGAAAATTGGCAACCCACTCACACTCACACAGTCACTCTGAAAAAGAGCAAAGGCGAGCAGTGGCCCTAGGAGCTAGCACGGTGCCTCTTTGAACTAGTCGCTACAAATCTCGCGCTGCTGCTCGCGGTGCCGCACCATCCATTCTATCACTTCAAAACAATTTGAACTTTTTTTCTTTAGAAGATAAGATTCAAAATGCTAAATAACACTTTGTTCCAACAATATTTATTTATTTATTT